GGTCTGGTCTTGTACGTATATAAATAAATGTCTAATCTTGAACTGGTGATCATTGGTCTTGTGTGCTTTCTTTTCGTTCGTTCGGGTCTAATTAGTATTGGGTTAATTGTCAAGCTTAGAAAATCAATCTCCCTCATCGTTTTCACGTATTAGTTGCTTAAAGTCGTCTACACGTATTAGTCGCCTGCAAGACATATCACAATGAGAAACCTTGAAATGGTATGATAAATTTATTGTATAGAGATAATCAACGTTGTGGCTATGATAAAATAATACAATGTAGATCATGTTTTGAATGTATATGAAGACAAATTAGATAATACAGAACCGGATAATACTAGTTTCCGAAACTCTGTCAACAGTTTTGCCTTAAAGATAAACATAGAGGATGGTGATGATAGCTGAAAGGGGAAGTATATGGGATTGCGATTAAAGGTAGAAAGGTAAGATGAGTGTTTCGTATCCGGCTGTACATTGACCTAGTAGTGATCTGTAGTTGAGGCCTTTCATCTAGTAGTATCTTTTAAAATTAACTATGCCAGTATCAATGTCTAGTTTCTACTAAACTACCTTAGTTTAGGGAGTTATTACTTATCACATGTATCTTATTGAGACGGTATCATCTGTTAATAATTTACCGAATACGAAACAACATAGAATTCTTTTCATTCATTTCCGTTTCAGATTCCATAGTTAGTGTGCCCTCAATTCCATGTAGATGTTATAACTTGTGGCTTTGTGCCCCTATCAATGTATATATATGACGTAATGATACCGCCAATTAGAGAACAGTGAATTATCTACAGGACCAATAATGCATAAAAACCCGTACGAACAGTTTAAAGTCTTTATCGGTCCTTCTTCCTGCCCTGTTGAGTGTAGAACACCAATCATAGCCTCCGCCATATGAATCATCCATTTCAAACGTACTGGGTTTATATACACCAATCAAACAGACCATATCGTACCAATAAAATAGGAGACAACATTTGTACAAGATTTGGTCAAATGTGGCGGTGAATATGGAAGACTGTAATTACCAGAGTGGGCATAACACAAGAATGGTAACTCGTATAATAATAATTCATAGGACAAAATAAAGCTTATGATAAGAGGGGCATGAATATGAATAGTTTAGTTATTTAACAATTATATGATAAAAATGTACGTATAGTATTGATCCATAAATGGATCCCAAAAGTTACTACTCAATATTCTCATCGAAATATAACAGTAGGAGTGGATTTACAAAATGAAGACAATACATTGCTACTATCAGAAGGGGTTTTGTGGATATTATAGTAATTTCAACAGTTGAGATCATGAGTCAACTAAAGTTAGACCACCATGGAAAACCTGGAAGCACTGGACGGCCGTTTTGTCCCAGTGTGTGAGCTCTCAGAAGCGCGCATCCACGACCCCGCCTCGTGGGATTCGAACCCGGGACCTGTCAGTCTTGCGCCAGGCGCTTAGCCAACCAGACCACTGAGCCGGCATCCAACGACATTAATCCACGGAATTGGTTAAGCGCCTGGCGCGAGACCGATAAGTCCTGGGTTTGAATCTCACGAGGCGGGGTCGTGGATGCGCGCTGCTGAGGAGTTCCGCAACAGGACGAAACGGCCGTCCAGTACTTCCAGGTTTTCCATGGTGGTCTAGCTTCAATTGACTCATGATCTCAACTGTTGACATTACTACTAAGCAACTGAATTAAAACCAACTTGTTGATAATAACTTATGATTAAAATCGATATCATCGTAAACTCCATTTAACTGTCGATATGTTGTAAGTAGCTATCAGAATAATCTAGGGCGAGACTCTAATTTATGAACGAGCCAATCAGAGGTGTTTAAGAGATTTCAAGGTTATGGCGCCAATTTCAGTGCTGAATGCTAACGTACGATGGATTCACAGGGAATTTTGCACTAAACGTGATAATTGAGCGGCTATAACAAATAAAACGGCGGGACTATAATTTGTGGACGAAACAATCAGATATAAGATAATAGATCTCGGATTTTAACGCGAAAGCCTTTCATCCATCTGGCTAGACAGATTTCTGGCATTATAGCTGATGTCAGTTCGTGATGAAAACCCTATTTATATATAATTCCTAACTAAGGCAAACTATGACAATTATTGAGAACTGGATAATAAAAGCACCAGTAACACTAGCTGCAGCCAGGTACTACAATATATGCGGAGTATTAGAGAGTGCACAGACTCGTACATAAGCTTGGTTATGTGCATCATGTCGTTATCCACAAGTAGCATTTTGTGCACTCAACAACCGGAGTGCACATAAACAATACTGAAACTATGTGGTCGAGGCTGAAAGAGTTTTTGAGACTTTATCATGACTCCAGAGGCCGACTATTCTGTAGCCGTATGGATGATTTCCTCTACTGCATGCATTACGATTTTAGAACCTCTTTCTAACCTTGACAAGTTTTTGAACCATGTATAAGAAGTGTGTACACTTTATTTTCTTGGTTTTGTATAACATATTTTTACTCTATACTGACTGTTTGCTGACTGACTAATATTTCTCAAGTTCACTTAAGATTCGTTCAAAGGTCACCGTTAAATCTTTTAACTGAATATTTGATTTAGTTTATTAAGTTCTTCTAGTAATTCACAGGCTAAATCTACACAATGACTCGAATACAAGAGAAAAGGTGTGAAATATAGAACAAACACTTTACTCCAAGATTCTTTTCTATATAGAATCTTTAGGGTATATATAGCACCTTAGAAAGCCTTGAACTTACGGAACTCTCTGGAACGCTACTAAACGTGGTAGCAGTATAAGTATTCATTCAATCAGAAACGTAACATGTGACTTTTCACTTTCTATAGGTGAGGAGATGCAGTCACATGGTAGCCGTTGACCAACGATTGGTTCATACACCAAATGCTCCATCAGGATCATGGAGACTCCATGTGTACCAGTGGTTTGGAATCAGGGTTTTACGACTCTCCTAGGTAGATCTTCTATACTCACCAACCCGGTTAAAGAGCCAGACATTCGCTTTTCATCCTCTCAATTGCGTAAACAACACTCTCGCCACGAAAAGGCAGTGAGTACGACTTCCCTGACAATGGCTAGAAGGGGGTGACCATACCAATACATAATATCGGTTTACGTAGTAATTAACTTTTGGATTGAGCCAAAACAATACTATAAGCTCTCAATAGACAGAAATGACACACACATTCTTAGCTATCCTCTGAATCGTATAAAATACACTCAACAAGTAATTTCTGTTTCAAATACAATCTACATTATATGGAGTAAGTGATTCTTGTAAATTAGCTAATAAACCATATTATATTCCCTGTATATGTGCCCAACAGATATGTTTATCGATTTTGATCGTTTCGATACAACACACTATGCATCAATCGAATCACAATTGACAGAGAAGATTTAGAGGATGTAAAAACCTTTACATAACTGGGCAATATCATTGATGAACACGGTGAATCTGATGCATATGTGAATGCGCGAATCGGGAAAGCAAGAGCAGCATATTAACAACTGAAGAACATATAGAACTCAAAACAACTGTCAACTAATATCAAAGTCAGAATTTTCAATACAAATGTCAAGACAGTTCTATTGTATGGGGCGGAAACTTCCAGAACTACGAAGGCAATCATCCAGAAGATACAAATGATTATGAACTGTTGTCTACGCAAAATACTTCGGATTCGTTAACTAGACACTATCAGTAAAAACCAGATTCCGGCGGAGGAAGAAATTAGGAAGAAGCACTGGAAGTGTATAGAATACAAATTGAGGAAAGCACACAACTGGGTAACAAGGCAAACATTCACTCGAAATCCTCAATGCCAAAGTAGAAGAGGAAGACTAAAGGACACATTACACTGAGAAATGGAGACAGACATGAGAAGAATGAACAACAAATGGATAGAAGTAGAAATGAAGGCCCAGGACAGAGTGGGTTGGAGAATGCTGGTCGGCGGTGTATGCTCCATTGGGAGTAACAGGCGTAAGTAAACGGCTAAATCAGAGTAAACGTAGTTAAATTCTTAATAAAGTACAAACTAATTATCGTCAGGTTTTGAATTCTGCACGAAGTTGAAAAATGATTAACTTGAACCCGATTGGCTCGTCACTAAAGTACAGTTTTACTGATAGTCTTCCTCTTCACATTAAACTATATGTTGATTATTTTCAATCACCTTGAATCTCTATAAAACCCTAGTCCATATAAAATTACTATTGATATGTAGAATTAAATCCGACGGTTGTTGCTACCTTGACGTGGTGGTCGGACTTACCTATCATGATAAACCAATCGAGCTATACGGACTGGAACAATCGTTACTCAAGGTCCTACCATGCCAGACAGGCCAGTCGGAGAGTGGTAAGACTAAAAACAGCAAACGCAAGGTCTGAGGGCGAAGTTGTACTGCTGACTGTACAGAGGTGTGACAGCAGTAAGGTGTTTTCTTCAGACAACTAGCATAACAGCGATGCTGACTTCCCACAATGAGGGGTGGGGTTAGAAAAGGTCGACCCTAAAAATGCACACCTCGCCTTATCCCACGGATATCGGTCTCCGATGTTAAGGTCTCAACAGGTACGGAGCTAACGCGGAAATCACTAACAAAAAGGTCGCGTGTGACCGACCTCAAGCAGTTATCCCTTGAGCACTGCAGTCACGCTTTCAGGTCACTAATACCATCCTCTAACCCAATTTCCTTTCCAGGTACCTCCTTTAGAAAAACTCTTCCACGGTGTGGGCAACCGGGAAGTGATAACCGACCTCATACTTCTAACAGCACTTAAGACCACTGTATTCATAATCAACCTGCCTCTTCAATTCCTATTATTCCTTCTACATCAACTTTCAACTTCCTCCTCAAGTGTCACCATAGAATTAAATAATTGACAATAGTAGTAGTAACTAATAAGAATGAAAGAAATAGCTTATGGTATATTTATTAAAACAGATATATCCTTTACAATTTATGCATGAATTGTTGAGACAGTTTCAACTTTACCATCTAATAGTTTACTATTATTATCATTATTATTATTCTTTATTAATGGTCTATTAGGTAATGGTAATGGATTAGGATGAGTATCTAATCGAGTCCATTTTTCACTTAATCTCCATAATAATTCTGATGCATGACGTCTATTTTCAATAGTTTGATCCATATGTTTAGAAGAAATTAATAAACGTAAATCTTGATAGATTGGAGCACAATGAACAATAGATTGATCAGTTATTGAATTAATAAGAGAAGAATCAACAGTTGTACAAAATAAACTAGTATTTGATCCTTTACGACTAATTAAACGTGGACAAGCATCGATTAACATGTAAATTAATTTTAAAATTCCTTCAGTATTCAAATATTTCTCATTCATTTCAGGATTTAAACCTCGTGTAACAACAGGATTTGTAACTAGAATTGATGCTTTATTACCTTGAATTGATGAATTACGACGTGCAAGTTCACTATAAAATAATAAGAAGGGTTTATTTGTGTGTGGATATGATTAGTAATTTCAATGGTTGAGATAATAAATTAATTGAAGATAGACCACTATGGAAAACTTGGAAGCATTTCCACGGCTGTTTCGTCCTACAATCGGAATCCTCAGCAGTATGCATCCACGATCCCGCCTCGCGAGATTCGAACCCAGGACTTGAGTCTCACGCGCGAGTGCTTAACCCCAAGGTCATTGAGTGGGAGGATCGTGGATGCGTACTGCTGAGGAGTCCCACAATAGGACTGAACGGCCGTTCAGTGCTTCCAAGTTTTCCATGGTGGTCTAGCTTCTGTTGACTCATGATCTCAATCATTGAAAATAATAAGAATTAAAGTTTTTATAAAAAAAACGCCACTTAATTTACAGTAATCTATTTGGAAGTAAAAATACAGACAAACGGGGTATTTCTCAGTTTATAGTTGTGAAGATTGTTGTAATCCATTGAAATGATGAACTGATCAATGTTAGACTACCATTGAAGACCTGGAAGCATTGGACTATACTGATACTCATCATGTGCTCAATAGTGACTAACTTGAAGGGGGAATTCTCGAAATTCTAATGAGAAGCCGTGATCAATGGTGTCAGGTATGAGGTAGTTGTACACTGAACACAATCGAAGATAGTCACGCAATATCGTGGATTGATTTAAGTTAGACATTAACACCGTTCGATACCGGTTCATTGATCTCGAAATCAAGCACCAATTTTAGTAGCGTAAAAATGTTTTACGACTGTCATATTAGTGACTTTTATTTTGTTCACTATTTGTTGACGCCGCAATTGAGTATAAAAACTGTAGATAATATGACAAGGTGCTGCTAAATGAAAAGTGGAAGTAAACGACTAGCACCTTTTCAATTAGTCACTTATAGGTAAATTAAGACTTGTGATATATGTCCATCGGCTCAAGTGTTCATCTTACATCAACTCAGTGAAATACCAAAGTGACTGACAAACAGATATCAGTCTGTTATATATATATATTATATAATATGGATGGTCTGTGTTTGAACCCGTCAGGAGCGGTATTCCCCTTGGAATTGCAGGTATAACTTGGTGACGAGTATGGACTTGTACGGGAGCCAGATGAAGCAGTTCCTTTCTGACTACCTCTGAACATCCAATTTGAACTTTGACCAATTTCGTTACCATCTTTACTTTCGTGGAAGTAAGAAATACAATAATAATAATAATAATGGTGAGACTATAATTTGTAGACGACCTTCCAGCGACGCTTAAGTGACCTTAAAAAATTCACCTACTTACTAAGGTTAAGTGAGGGTTTATAAATTAGTGTGAGGAATTAGGATTAGGATTTACAGTTGGATGTTAGTTTTACGAATAAGACTTATAGTTTCCATTGAGTTGACATCAGCTATAGTGCCAAAATATTACCTAGCCATACAAATGAATGAATTTCGCGCCGAAATCCAAGACCTCCTTTCTTATATGTGATCAGCTCGTCTGTAAATTATAGTACCGCCGAGTTTGGTGGTTGGTAATTGAAAAAATGCTCTGCTTAGTATAATCCCCATGTTATTGTAGCTGATTGACTGACTGATAATCCCCATATTATCACAATTGATTGATCACTGGGTGGTGATCAATCTCATGCTTGTCTAGACCTTATTAGTGCAGATCGAATGCTATCGATCATGTTGCAATGTGGCCACCAGTCTAGGTGACTCGACACTGCGGGCACTATGTATTGAGATTAGATGGTGGTTGGAGGTAGTCAACAGGAAACCCTGGACCCGGGTTTCGTGCTACTTGGCACTCGTCAGCAAGGTGTACCTGTAATCTTGAGGGAACTGGTGCTCCTGTTGACTACCTCCAACCACCATCTAATCTCAATACATAGTGCCCGCAGTGTCGAGTCACCTAGACTGGTGGCCACATTGCAACATGATCGATAGCATTCGATCTGCACTAATAAGGACTAGACAAGCATGAGATTGATCACCACCCAGTGATCAATCAATTGTGATTACATCTCAGTCCTACAGGAGGTTAGTCACGGCTCGGATAGCTCAGTGGTAACGTCTCTGACTGTGATGCTGGGTGACACGAGATCGAATCCGCCAGGGAGCACCAGTTCCCTCAAGATTACAGGTACACCTTGCTGACGAGTGCCAAGTAGCACGAAACCCGGGTCCAGGGTTTCCTGTTGACTACCTCCAACCACCATCTAATCCCCATATTAGTTGACACTCGTCATTAAGGACTTAATTCGGATTCCAGTGGAACTTATATGTCTTGGTGGATTCATAGTTAGAGACGCTACCCCCTGAGCTATTCAAGCCGCAACTAACTACTTGTAAGACTAAAATATTTATATTGATTGACCATTACTATTCACTCACTGGTTAATCAATGTAAGTGTTGGTGAGTAAACCTAGCAGTGGGTCTTGAAAATAAACTCATCAGATAAATGACAGGATACTGTAACAATGTTTCTTTATTATTTTTATTTATTTATTTAAACACATATACATTAGTACAAGGAAGCACCAAATAGATATGCGCTACATATATCATTCGATTTGTGTGAGGGTTGAGATATTGCTCGAGTACCCAAACCGAAGCAAGTGATTTTCTAAGGAGGCCACTTCCGATTCTTTGACCTAGAGGTCTAATCCACAAGGCTGTGGAGCAATGTCAGGAGATGCAGTCCTATGGTGACCAGTCACCAACAGTAGGTTCATACACCATTGATTTGGAATAAGAGTTTTGCAACTCCGCTTGGTAGACCCTGCGTAACCACCAACCCGATTAAAGCGCCGAACATTCGCTATTCGTTCTCTCAAGTTCATAAACAACACCCCCATCACGAAAAAGGCAGTGAGTAGAACTTCCCTAGCAGTAGTTGTACGCACGTGGCCATGTAAGAACATTTCGAAAGGCAGAGCTAATTCCCCTTACTCTCGGCCGTACCACAGCATTTGGGCGGAGGGCTTTCATTAAAATACAATACGATCAAAAATATTTACTTAAACAACATAACAATATCCAGTCAGTCAGCTACAACGTAGGACCAGGCACATTTATGCATCGGTCCAAGTTGCCACACCTCATTAGCACAGCAAGATGAGCACCGGATTCAGAGGAGTGGTTAAGTCAATCATGGTAACATATAAAAGAAAGATTGCAATAAGGATTTAGTACAGGAAGAAAGAATTAGTTCATAGAAAGAAAGATATGAAGCGATATTAATCTAATAGCTTAAGGAAAGACAGAGAGTGTATACACCGACGCCATTGTGATCGATTCTGAACCATATCACCCAAATTCTTCAACCATTGGTTACGATAGTCGCGCGGACCCTAACCAAGTAATCTCCATCTACCAACATGGCTCAGACTAGAAGTTAGTGACTTCAAGCACTGATGCCATGTTTTGGTTTGGTCGCCCCTAACTTTCTTCCAACCATCTTCAACACCGGTTAGCATTGTATAACAATATTCAATTGAATACAATCAATTATCAATAAAGAAAATATAATGAACTTACTCAGCAAACATTAATAGAAACCATTGTGCACGACGATATGCATTCTTTGGTGTATAATTGATATCATTATCCCAATTAATATTATCTAATGGAATTGTAATTTGTGATGATTCTGATAGATTCATTACATTCTCTTGATCTATATTAGCTGATTTGGTATCAACAACTAAAATAAGGCGTCCATTATTCTCATTTAATCGATTGATTAATAAACGACTTAATAAATAAGTAGCAAAATAATTTATACCTAATTCTTTTTCAAATCCATCATGTGTTAAACAACGTTTACCAGAAATAATATTACTAATACATGATGGTGATTGAATAATCACTGTATCTAATTGTGAATAATCTGTTAATAGACTAGCAGTAAAACGACGTATTGATATCATACTATCCAATTCTAAACGTCGACATTCAATCATATCTGATTTCACACCATATTTACGTATTAAACGTTCTTTTAATTCATCACATCTATCCCAATGATCATCAGCCAAAATAAGATGAGCACCTTGTTTAGCTAAATTATATACTAATTCACGGGAAATTTTGGCTAAAATAAAGAAAACAAAGAAATATATATTAGAATTACATGAGATATATGTTCAAAGATGATGTAGAAACATAGAGATAGATAAACGATACTTACTATATGATAAGAATGATAATGATCTAGAACGATATCGACTACAAGTTATGTTGGGATTCTGAGATCACCGGGTAAGTAATAGTGAGGTTAGACGCATGGTATTAGGGAATGATGGTAAATCAGTTGATGAGTTCGTGTGATTATCGTAACCAATGGTTGGAGACTGTGTGTGACATGGCTCGGAATCGATCACAATGGCGTCGGGGTATACACTCTCTATCTTCCTTCGAGGAGTTCTTGAATAGACCAGCTCCATCTACTCCATTGAATATCGAAGCAGCACACACACCTTTCTATAGATGTCAATCCACCAACGATCGAATAAATCAGGATGACCATCAAACAAACTAAGAGTGGGAAGGTATAAGGATCTGAGAGTATACCGGCTGAAACTGACATAGAAGTAACTGCATTCTTCACCTTCTATTCAGGAAGATTTGAGAGGAAGAACAAATGTCGACAGACTGGAAAGAGGAATATTTCATCAACATACCAAAGAAAGGAAATCTGAGCAAATGTGAGAACTACAGAAGCATAACACTACTATCAGTACCGAGAAAGGTTTTCAGCAGAATGTTGTTAAACAGAATGAAGGATTCAATAGGTGCCCAGCTTCGAGATCAACAGGCCGGATTCCGTAAAGATTGGTCGTGCACAGACCAAATCGCGACAAAACGGATCATCGTTGAGCAATCAATTGAATGAAATTGGCCACTATGCATCAACTTCCTCGACTATGAGAAAGCGTTCGGCAGTGTGAACACGGTGACCTGATGGAACCTTCCTCGACACTATGGTGTACCTGAGTAGATCGCCAACATCATACGGAATACATACAATAGACTACATTGCAAAATCGTGTATGGAGGACAACTAAGGGAGACATTACAAGTGAGGACCGATGTCAGACATGGCTGCTTACTCTTGTCCTTTCTGTTCTGGTGGATTACGAAAACCTCAACATCTCAGGGAGAACATGGAATACAATGGACAGCTTGCATGCAGCTAGACAACTTGGATTTCGCACATGAACTGGCTCTTCTATCGTATACACACCAACTAATGCAAATGAAGACAACTAGTGTAGCAGCAGTATCTGCAACAGTATGCCTCAACATACACAAGAGAAAAAGCAAGATCCTCAAATATAACACATTGAATACCGACTCAATCACACTTGATGGAGAAACTCTGGAACAGGTGGAAACTTTCACGTACCTCGGAAGCGTCATCGATAAAGAAAGAGGATCAGATGCAGATGTAAACGTGAGGATTGGCAAAGCAAGGACAACATTCCTACAATTGAATAATATATAAAACTCAAAACAAATGTCTCCAAGCCAATATCAAACTCACAATCTTCAATACGAACGTCAAAACAGTCCTAATATACGCAGCTCAAACTTCGACAACTACTAAAATCATCATCAAAAACATACAAGTATTTATAAATAGTTGTCTACACAAGATACTCAACATCCATTGACCGGATACCATCAGCAACAGTCTACTGTGGAAGAGAACAAACCAGTTTCCAGATGAAGAGGAGATTAGGAAAAGACGTTGGAAGTGGATAAGACATACATTGTGGAAATCATCAAACTACATCCCGAGATATGCGCTAACTTGGAAAAGAAAAATAGGAAGACCAAGTAGCATATTGCGTCAGGAATGAAAAGAAGACATCAAAAGAATGAATAGCAACTGGAAGGGATTTCCCAGGACAGATTTCGATGGAGAATCCTGATGAGGGGACCTGTGCTCCTTAACTAGGGGTAAGTATGTCGGGCGTAACACAAGTATCCCCAATGGTAATGGATAATAGTCATGTAAAACATGGCGACTGTAGTTACAAATGTGAACCATTGGATCCCAACTTTATGGTCTTTAGAACAGAGACACGTGACAATTACTGAACGGCCTGGATGCGGTGCGCCACAAGGTTATGGGTGCGCAATGATGAGAATCCCAACACTACTGGATAAAAGCTCCTTAGAGCTTCCTAGTTTCCAACGATTAATTCATTAAAGTTAGTCCGTGATGTGAAATACGAATTTAACAATCACCTCAAACCTCTGATATTCTTATTATGTTTCTGTTACACAACTTGTAGAAATGTGCATCGGCTCAATTTGCCATACCATATCACCACAGTAAAACGAAATTATCAAGATAAATACCAGAGTAACAGAAGTAGAAATAATAAAAATGGTAGTAAAAAAAGATTGGGTAGAAGTAATATGATTTAAGAAGAAGAAATGAGTTTACAAAATAAAAGGTACAAACAATTTCAAAATCCTAGTGAAGATAGAGTGAATGGATTTGTGTCTTGTAATCTGTTTTGACTTTAGTCACCTTATTGTCTCCAATAACTGATCATGGTAATTTGCCGGACCTCAGTCAGGTAATCTGTAGCTACTCATAAAGCTCAATCTAAGAGCCAATAATTTAGTGAATAAAATAACACGAACTGATTGAAATGAGAACGATTGCTTGGTCCTAATTCTCAATTAAGCGATAACATATTCCACATGAAACTTGACAATCAAATGGTTGATACATATAGAGTTAACAATGTACAGTTTGAAACTAAAATGATGCAACCATTCAGTTGTATCAGTCCATGTTTATTTGTATTTAAAAAGACTTATAACTACATAAAGTTATTGACAATAAAAGAAATAAGCAGCCATGATTCACTTAGAAGTAGGTAAAATACAAGACCATGTCTTATGGACAGTTCAATTACTGTTCAGATACAAATTTGGGAACCGGTAGTTTACATTTCAATTTCAATTAACTTATGAGATCGTACGCATGTAATTTTAACAATCCCACAACTATTGATCTTTTTTTCTTCAAAAGCACTTCAGATGATGTCATTCTGCTATTAAAGGTTCGTTATCCATCTGAAAACACTCGCATACAGTCAAGCGTTTACAGCATTTGCCAGGAAAGTCCTACCCACTCCTCTCACGCAGTAGGGGTACACTTTACAGAAGTGAGAGTACAAAAAGCGAACATCCGAAACTTAAACCGGTCGGTGGATACGGAAAGTTCACCTGGATCAGTGTAATAAACGTCGATTTCAAGCCGATGGTGTATATAGCGTCCGGAAAATTGAAGGAACGAATGATGTATGAATCTGCTTTATTTACCGGATTATATCAAACTGATGTTACCCTACTGTCTTGTGGGTCGAATCTTCGAAATTCAAAGCCTCCAAGAGTAGTCCATGAAGAAAATAACCATTTCAGTCCACTGACAAATATGATAATTACAAAGGAAAAATCGAATTCTAGAAAAGTAATTAAGAATGGCAAATTCACTGAATACATATTTATAACTTACAACATGGTTGTGTTATCACAATTGGTTTATTTTGCAAATCTCTTGTTGGTCCATTGTATGATGGTAAAGCTACAAATAGTTTATAACCTAAAAGACCACTGCCTGTGAATGTACAAAATAATCCAAAAGCTTTAAGAGCTGTTTTTAAAGTGATACGCTTTTTAACTGGTGGCAGTGGTCGAACCTGAAATGAAAAAATAAGAGTTGATCAAGAAATTCAATGAAAAAAAATCTGATTAAAACATTTCAGTTTGTCAGACTATACAGATGGTTCGAATCCTTTAAGATGCTTTTGTCACAAACTTTCAATAAATGATAATGTTAAAACACAGAGGAGACAATGCAATACAGTGGTCGTGAGTGCTGTTAGAGGTATGAGGGCGGTTATCACTTCCTGGTTGCCCACACCGTGGAAGAGACAATACAATACACAGAAAGAATGTATATCACCCTTAAAGTGATATAGCTTATATCAATATAAATTGATAGTGAAACAATGATTTAATGCATGAAACACTCAAGATACATATTGTACAAATAGTACGACAGTGTTCAATACACTTTGTAACTTCGCTAAAATATATTTAAGATAAAATTAATATACTTAGTTAAACTAAAATACCAGTCAACAAATTACGTTTCTTTGTCAACGATAGTAAAGATTTAAAAAACGTATGATTCCCACTACACAACTGCATACTCTCAGAATGAGAAGAAATGAATTCGTAGTATAGAAATTTTATCAATCATGAAGAACGGTAGTTTATAAAGATATGATGTTAAGGATAGTTTCTTTGCCACGAAATGAGACCACCCGGACAACCATTAGGAATTAAATAGTGATGGACAGCTATTTTGAAAGTTTTAATCAGCATTCCCCAAAAAGCCTGAACAGAATTCCACCAAACGATTTAAAAATTCAATGGATGAGGGTTGTCATATATAGCACAACGAATGAGCTGGAAAGATGTGGACCATTTGTTCATTTTACTGAATGGTTGGATAGTGTTCATTGTGAAATTCAGCGTAAAGTTATGCACACTTTTGATAAAAACCCAACTGACGAAAAAGAAGCTATTTAGCACTCTTGTATTTTCAATGGTCCTCCGAGTGATACTAGTCCACTATGAAAATTGTATAAACACTTTATCAAACAATGTGTTTGATAAAGAACACATGATTTACTGACACTAGTGATCAAAAGCTCTTAAGTTCATGGATGATTTTCCCCTGTAGCCCATTGCTATAGAGCAGTAGTGTGAAAAATTGACCTTATAACCATATCAAACACTTAATTGGTTGGCTTCCAGTTCACTGAAGTATGTTTAGATCAATATATACCATAGATAAATAATTGAATGATTAATCAATATTCAGAATCATTAGAATAACTACCGTAGGGTATTTAACTAGATCGGTTATTTTATCGCTTGTTATTCATACTTGTCGTTACTGTTGCGTAATTCTACTCGCATCAACTGTCGAAATCCCTAGATAAATAGTATAACTCTTAATTCCTGTTAATTACTGACTATGATATCTTATCAACTATAAATGTATGAGTAGTGTATAGTATAACTGATATTCAATTCCTTGAATTAACTCAATGATGCACAAACACATTAGCTGTTATACAAAATAATGAAAGAATTATATACACATATACAAAACACCGAAAGATCATTGCCACAAGATTTGTATGTTTAGTGATCAGTTATTATTTTACGAGTATGTTGACATATGTTTTCACATCAATCCCACATTTGAATTTGTTTTAGCTTTCCATAAAGGATGATATGATAACTATTATCACTAAGAAAAACGAAGTCATTTTTAGATGCCCGCTCAATGGTTTAGAAGTTAAGTGTTCGTGCGCAAGATCGAAGGTCTTCGATTCAAGTCCCGCGTGCTAGGTCGTGAATGCGCACTGCTGGGAAGTCTTATAATGGGAGGAAACGGTCATTCAGTGCTTCCAGGTTTTCAATAGTGCTCTAACCAGCTTCAATTAAGGAAATCATGTATTTCTGTTTTTATATACTTAAGTAAATAGATTATAATTCGGTTAGGGTTCTAATCTATGATATCAATATGCACCTGAGTAGTTGGATCAAGTAAAAAAATGAAAGAAGCACTAAGTTGTTAAATATTTTAATTTGATACAATCATATAGTTCGATATATCGGCAAAGCAAGAGCAGCATATTTGCAACTGAGGAACATCTGGAACTCAAAACAACTGTCTGTCAACCAACACTAAGGTCAGAATCTTCAATACAAATGTCAAGACAGTTCTACTATATGAGGCAGAAACCTGGAGAACTACGAAAGCCATCATTCCAGAAAATACAGATGTTTATTAACAGTTGTCTATGCAAAATACTTCGGATCAGTTGGCCGGACACTATTAGCAACAACCAACTATGGGAAAAAACAAACCAGATCCCAGCAGAGGAAGAAATCAGGAAGAAGCGCTGGAAGTGGATAGGACACACATTGAGGAAAGCACTGAACTGCGTCACAAGACAAGCCCTTACATGCAATCCTCAAGGCCAAAGGAAAAGAGGAAGACCAAAGAACACATTACGCCAAGAAATGGAAATAGACATGAGAAAAATGAACAAGAATTGGATGGAACTAGAAAAGAAGACCCAGGACAGAGTGGGTTGGAGAATGCTGGTCGGCAGCCTATGCTCCATTAGGAGTAACAGGCGTAAGTAAGTAAGTATATAGTTCGATATAGGTTAGAAGGGTATAATATCATGCTTTATATACAATCATATATAGGTAAATGCAACAAACTTATGTCAGCAATGGAAGTGTTCAATAAAATGTAATTCAATTAAAGAAAATCACATTGAACTACCATATACAACTGTTGGTAAACTGAATTATCAAATTGGACTTCTTTAAATACATAGTTTGATCTTGTTATATCTCTCTTTTCTTACGGTTATGACCCAGCTATTCCTATTGCTTAGTATTCTCGGACACCGATTCACTCGACAACTCCCCAAATCAGAACACGGTTGAACAGGAAAGAGATTACATTCCAAATAACAAGGTTAGATGGAAGTAAGAGGCAAGTCAGAAGCACAATAGGGAAAAACGTCAGTATATTTATAGTTTTTACCTGAGAAGATTCTAGAATATTCTCCAACTATCGACTAGTGCTGATTGGATAAGAATTAGTCAATCAGCGTGCACCAAAGCAATCGTACATTGAGCTTGCTTTAATCCAGTCTATGTTCCGCTAACAGATCACTTTTTTTCTTTTACAAATGCAACACTTAAAGTGAAGTGAATATACGTAATCTGTTTAGAAATGATACGAACTTGAAAAATGAAGAAACCCTGGTATGCACTAATAATCGTACTCCTTTTAAAAAATTCAAATTTTTTTTGGTAATACACATATCTAATCGACAGTGTTTAAGATACTCATATACTCGAAAATTAATGTTGAATCATTACTTAAATTTGTTGAATCTGGTTGGCGCTTTTTTTAGAAAGATTTTTTCTACGGGATGGGGTTGCCGACCCCATACCCAACTCCCCTTCTTTACTCGGGCTTAGGACCGGTAGTAACTCTAGAAGAGCTACAGGTGGAAGATGTGAAATCCTTAACATAACTGGGAAGCATCATCGATAAACAAAGAGGATCAGATGCAGATGTAAACGTGAGGATTAGTAAAGCAAGGACAGCATTCCTACAATTAAACAACATATAAAACTAAAAACAAATGTCTCCAAGCCAATATCAAACTCACAATCTTCATTACGAACGTCAACACAGTTCTAATATACGCAGCTCAAACTTCGAATACTACTACAACCATCATCAAAAACATACAAGTATTTATAAATAGTTGTCTACACAAGATGCTCAACATCCATTGACCGGATACCACCAGCAACAGTCTACTGTGGAAGAGAACATACCGGCTTCCAGCTGAAGAGGAGATTAGGAAAAGACGTTGGAAGTGGATAAGACATACATTGCGGAAATCATCAAATTACATCGCGAGATAGGCGCTAACTTGGAAAAGAAAAATAGGAAGACCAAAGAACACATTACGTCAGGAAATAGAAGCAGATATGAAAAGGATTAATAACAACTGGAAAGAGCTGGAAAGGATTGTCCAGGACAGGGTAGGATGAACAGTGTTGGTGGGCGGCCTATGCTCCTCCATGAGGATTAACAGGCGTAAGTAAGTGAATTACTCAAATTCTGATAAGTTAGATAATACATAACATATGAATAAGTGCAGCCATCTTCAATGATGTCAGTTAATAAAATTGAGATAAACCTATTAGTTATCATATGGTAAATAATAAACACATAACAACTATTTACAATCTGAATTGTTCTATATATCTTTATTTCTTCTACTTGTTAAGTGTAATTTTGTATGACTTTACATACTCTAGTCTAATTGTCACTTCAAAATTTTGAAATATATTGACGTTTGAACATTAAATACCGACTCGAAAATCATTCTAATCAGAGAGGGGTTCTGTGGATATTATAGTAATTCAGTAGTTGAATTCATGAGTCAATTGAAGCTAGACCACCATAGAAAACCTGGAAGCACTGGACAGCCGTTTCATCCTAGTGTGAGACTCCTCAGCAGTGCGCATCCACGATCCCGATCGCGGGATTCAAACCCAGGATCTATCGGTCTCGCGCGCTAACGCTTAACCTGTAGACCACAGAGCCGGCATCCAACAGTGTTTATGTCTAACTTCAACCATGAAGTTGCGTGACCATCCACCATTGTCATTAGTGAGTTACTATGTCATAACATTCTACTTTGAATGGAAAATTCACTAATCTTATTATTTATTACTTGGTGTTGAGCACATAAATCAGTCAGTCAGTCAGTCAGCCACAACGTAGGACCAGGCACATATGTCCATCGGTCCAGGTTGCCATACCGCATCAGCACAACAAGATGAACACCGGATTCATAGCAGTGGTTAGGTCAAAGGTGGTAATATATAAGAGAAAGATTGCATATAGAGATATAGTACAAGAAGAAAGAATTGGTTGGTAGAAAGAAAGATATGAAGCGATTTTAATCTCCTAGTTTAAGGGAAGACAGGGAGTGTATAGACCGACGCCATTGTGATCGATTCTGAGCCATATCACCAAGTCTCCAACCATTGGTTACGATAGTCACGCGGA